ACATCTTCTTGAGCCTTCACTCCATTCTCTAAAACTTTTTCCAACTACTTTCCATCACTAACTCTGTTCTGCAATAAGCTCCCTTCCTAGGCAAAAACTGAGAAAGGCAAATATTAAATGCCTCATCTCAACCGGCAGAAGGACTGACTAATGGAATTCTATGGAGATTCCAAGAAACCAGCACATCTCTGGATGCACATATTGAGACACACAGGAGGAATCATACTTTTCAAATTGATGAACAACACATGACACCAAACCTCTACAATGAGAGGAGAGGCTTGCTTATAAGCTGCTATGTGCAATTTTTCTCTTAACTGAAAATAGATTTAAAATGTACTTCAGGATTATTTATAAGCAGTTCTTAAGCTTGATGATACTAAGCCTAGATACATTAAAGACATAATGATACCACTGAGGGTGCTTGGTTAGTTGGATGCATGACTGTCACCTTGTTCCATGTGTGTGACTACTGGTAGCTAGCTATAAGTAAGTAAGGTTTAGGCTGTTGGTGGTAACTACATGAAAATGTACAGTGGAATTAATCATAGTATCTAACATTATTTGAGCACTTGCATGTGCTATGCCTTTTATTAAGCCCTTTGCATGGGTGATCTTATTTAATCCCCACAACAACTCTGTGTATGAGAAATGTATCTAACAACTATGAAAAATATGCTGCTCTTACCACCTTTTTAGAGATAAGGAAACCGGATCTTTTAAAGGTCACGTAATTTGCTCAAGATTCCACAGTTAGTCAAGTGATGGGCCAGAATCTGAACCCAAGCCATCTGAATCCAGATCCTGAGCTCCCAACTGTAAGACCAGGAGGAAATTTAGGTCCCACCTCTCTCTCCTTCACCTCTCACCTCCTCCACACCAAAACATTTTTAAAAAGTAGAAGTCCAGACTAGCTCATTGAAGTAAAAGATCCAAAATCTAATTCAAACTCAGGGGGTTGGGGAGGGCACAAAGGAGAATAAAGGAAAGACTAGAAGTGCTCTTAATCAAAGTCCAGTTAATATACTCACTGGATTTGCCAATGGTCCATTCCCTCGCCTTAAGCAAGACTGATGCAAGTTTCTCCCCTACTTCTATACACATACTTTTGGTTAGTCAACTCCTGAGTAGCCTACCAACTGCCGATTCCAATCACGTCAGGTGAGAGGGTTACCCTGCAGATGTTTTTTTCCAGGCCTGTTACCTGACACCGTAAGATTTGTAGGACATCTTTTTAAAAGTGAAAGAGCTTTAAAACAAAACAAAGCAAAACAAAACAGCTCAGAAGAATACAGGGGTAGCAATTCGGCTTTTTGGTCATGTACCTAGTAAATCTAGTCAGTTCAAAAATCTATCTCTACCACAAGAAAATCGGTGAACGACACCGTTGGAAAGAACTGAATTTACTGTGAGGTCCACGCCCATTGCCTATGGAAAATACAATAATTTATTTCTTTAGCACGAGCTTTCCTGCAAAGAACGCCACTGAACTGAAAGCCTCGCGGTTGCTGGCTTCACACTCTACCCAACAGAATATATACAAGCAAAGAGGAAACACACCGTCACGAAAAAATACACAATTTCCTTTTATTACCTCTTCTGAGTAGAACAACTCTTCTTTGGGGACTGAGTCAGGGAGCCGTAACAGTTCACCACACAGTATTTTCCATTCTCACAGCCAGTAAAAATTAGGAATCACCCCCATCAATGAGGATGACCCAGTTATTCCCAGAAAGCAAGGGCCTCCACGGTGGATGTCTCTCATGGGCGTCTGATCCAGCATGAAGCTCAGATGCCTGGAATCCATATCTCCCTCCAATGAGTAAGAATCCATTAAGAAAAAAAAAAAAAAGCACCTAGGTCCTTGGCTGGAACACTGGCTGTGTAAAGATGAGTGGTGGGAAATAAAGCCATAAAGATAGGTGGGTGTAAACTGTGGGGGCCTTGAAAGCACCAGGGCAGCTTGTAATTAATTCAGTGCCTGGCTGTGCAACCAGAGAAAGTTTTGGAGAAAGAACGGTGACATGACTATAATCTACAGATGTTACTGGTGAACATTATAGGATACCCCAAGGGTAGAACAGGTTCAAGGTAGAATGACCAGCTAAGAGGCAAGCTAGGGAAATAATCTAAGTGTCCATCTACAGATGAATGTTTAAGGAGATGTGCGGGGGGTGGGGGGGCGGTGTGTGTATGTGTGTGTCACATATGGGATGGAATATTGTTCAACCATGAGAAAGCAGGAAATTCGGCCATTGGCATGGATGGAATGTGAGGGCATTATGCTTAGTGAAATAAGTTAGAGGAAGACAAATACTGCATGATTTCACTTACAGGTGGAATCTAAAAAACCTGATTTTATAGACAGAGAGAGTGGAATGGTGGTTGCCAGGAGTGGAGGGTGGGGAAAGTAAGGAAATGCTGGTCAAAGGACACAAACTTTTGGTTATCAAGTCTGGAGATCTAGCATGCGGATTATAGTTAACAACGCTGTATTATATGTTTGAAAGTTGTTAAGAGAGTAGATCTTAAATGGTCTCACCACCAAAAAAAAAAGAAAGAAAGAAAGAAATGGTAATTATGTGAGGTGATGGAGGCGTTAACAAATGTTACTGCAGTAATCATTTTGCAATACATAAGTATCAAATCAACGCTTTGTATTCCTTCAGTCTACACAATGCTGTATGTCAATTGTCTCTCCATGAAGCTGGGGGACACAAGAGAGGCCACACTTGATGGAAGCTCTTGTGCCCGTTAACTTTCATTGTCTTTGCTTACAATTTATTTCATTTGAGCAACATTAATCTCATGACTTCAAAGAACTTACCATTTTCTATTATGTTGCATTTTAGAAAGTTTATACAGGTCTGCCTTCTCAAAGTTCTGACGCTTAGAAATTGGCAGACTTGTATTTACATGTACGCCAATACCAACCTGGTCAAGGGCGTGCTCGCTAGCATACAATGGAAGCAGCACTTTTTGACTTCTGAGACTAAGCAGCTTTATCCTCATCTGCCAGAACACTCTGGGAACCTTGAGTGTATGTCAGAAGGCAGGCCATCTACCCTGAGACCACCAAGCTGGAAAGGCCATGTGTGTGGGTGTTCCTGTGGACATTACCAGATGCACCCAGACTTCAAGCCCATCTTGCAAAAGCTCCAGACCCGTGAGTGAAGAAGCCTCCAGAATGTAGGCTCCTAGGACTGGAGTCACCCCCAGCTGCTTGAGTCCTCTCACTGAGGCCCCAGACATCTGGAAGCAGAGACAAGGCTTTCTGCTGTGCCCTGTCCATATTCCTGACCCAAAGAATCCATGAGCATAATAAAATGGCTTTTTTTAAAAAAACATTAAGTTTTGGGGTGGTTGGTTCATCGCTAATAGATAACGGGAACCATATGTACAACAAGAAAGGTGATAAACCCACCAGTTGTGGAGCCCACACTTGAAACATGATACTTAGGTCTGGGTGACATATTTCAAAAGATTCAAAAACAAACACACTCAGAAAAGAATAACAAGAATGTTCCTTTGGGGGAAAAAAAATGAAAGGACTGAAGATATTCAGACTAAAAAAGACAACAAAGGGTATGTGTTAATTGTCTTCAAATATTTGAAGGACTATCAGGAGTAAAAGTGAACACAATGACTCTGTATCTTCCCAGGAAGGAGGCCTGCTACAGGAAGGCAGGCAGAAGAATTTTCTAATGTTCAGAGCTTTCCAAGAAGGAAGAGGCAGCCTTAAGAAGTAGTGAGTTCCCTAACACTAAGGATCTCAAGCAGTCCAGATGATTACCACCTGGTAGGTAGGTTTGGAGAGAATTCATTTATTGACCAGAAAGTTGAATGAAATGCTCTTATTTTAAGGTTACATTGCAACGCGGAGATGTTTTTAATCTAAAGATCATCCCCATTTCCTTGTGCTAAGAAATCTAATCCCAACACATGTTGAGCAGAGGAAAAAAAAAAATACAAGATGAATAAATTAAATGAAAGGCAATACCACAGTATAAATAGAAAGTGATGTAGAACTCTAGAGGAAAAGGAATGGCATACCAACAGGAAAATATAATCCAGCATAGCAGCAAAGACACTTAAAAAAAGATGAAGCATGAAGAATAAACCAGGGAAGAGAAAAAAGGACATCCAAAGATCCCTTTGCAGAAGAAACCTCGTATAGAGGATGTCCTTATCTTTCTTGAGAAATGGCTTTAGTCATTTTTAAGACTTTTCTCCTCTGTCAGTGGGACAGACAGACCAAAAGAACATGGGTAGTGTAGCAGCAAAGGGAACAAGGCTGAAGTGGTAAAATGAGCGACGTTCTTCAGTGATCACTGGATTTCCGGCCTCAAGGAGCTACAGGATCTGTGTGCCTGTGGGATCAAGAGCACCTGCCTGGAAGCCACGGTCGCTAACGTCAGTCCACAGGAATGACCACTAAGGGAAGCAAACAGATCTGAAACTAAAAACCTGGTTTCCTAAAAAGCCAACGTAAAAAGGAAAAACACAAGCCACCTCGAAAATGAAATGTGTCCAAAGCAAAAACCATGAAGGAAACAACAACAAAAAAAAAAAAAGAAAAGAAAGAAAACGTTACAAAATTATCTCATACACATTTCATCTGAATTTTATCACCATTTGTAATCAACTTCCAAGGTTTCATAATACCCTTTAACCTTAGTTACTCAACCCACCGAACAAGTCATCTCATTGTTACCCCTGTTTGAAGGAAGAGTGGAAACTCTTTTCATGTTGATAAGAGATAGAAAGAGGAGTCACTCCCAGGAAAGAAAAGCATTGTGAGTAAACTCCTGGAGCCTAATGGTAAAGGGTGGTGATAATTCGGCGCTTGCCTTAACCCTTTCAAAGACTTATTGAACCAGAAGTCAGAAATACATGTAATTGATAAAATAAAAGTAATTTTCACTTAAAAAACGAAAAATAGAAAATTTTCATTACCAAAAAGAAAAAAAAGAGCCCAGAAATTATATCTGATTACTCACCCATTTCCTAGGTCTGCCTCTTGGCCGTTTTTCTCCAGTGGCTTCTGCTTTCTGCAAAATGAAAAAGGAAGTCATATTGTTTCCTACCTGACATTATTTATAAGTGCTGCACCGAGGGACACATTCCAAGTAAGAATGTTCTGGTTTGCGATGAGGTATGGAGATTGCTTTAACAATCCCCTTCTCCATGAAGGCTCATCTTCTTCTCCATGTTGGAGTAGATCCTCCTTCCCGGGTGTTTCATTGCATGATGCACAGAGATATTTACGCATCTCTCACCCTCAAACACTCCCCTGGAATGATCTCCTCTGAAATGCATGAAAATGCTTTTAATAAGCCATTTTGCTTTTATTTCTATCCACAATAAAAAAAATACTCCCACATAACCATAAATATATAAATTATATAAAATACTCCTACATATCCACAATATAAAAAAATACTCCCACTATATCCATGATTTAGAAAAATCATGTCTCTTAAATGATTTTGTTTCCATGTCACAGTGAAAGTTATAAAAATTAAAACTGATATATTGCTTTACAACTTACAAAGCACTTCTACCTACATGGCTAATCAAAAGTAAGTCTAAAGTAAGTAAGAATACATAGGCTTTTAATGAAAAAAAAAAAAAAACCCAAACATTTGCATAGTTCTACATAGTTAACTTCCTATTCCTTGCCAAAAACAATCTTAATTGTCAATCAATTCATTTAAAGCAGAGAGAGATTAAAAAAAAAAGTTGGCAGAAATCGTCAATGTTTGTCCCTGTGATGGAAACTAGGGGTGCCAAAAGTAGTAATTAATAAAAATGCATATTATTATCAACAAGTCCCCACTCAACACAGACCTGACATGAATATATTTCCAACTACCTTGAGAGTTTGTTTTATTGCTTCAAAGAAGATTTTTTTCTGGTATCACAGTTGTTTTTGCCTTTTGAATCAAATTTTAACATCATCTATAAAGTAATTTCCCTATGTTTATGACCCCTACTCCAATCCCCAAATACACCAAAACACACATACACACACACGACAAACATCTTCTATAAAAACATATGTTTATACTTTGCAGGATAAAGAAAAGTTAGCACACACTCTTCTATATATAAGAATCATCCCAAGGCTATAGAAACACAGTAATACAGGTAACCTGAGCCAGCATAAGTTGTTTTGCATTGTGCTTTTGTTACCTAAGTTAGCAGCCAGTAGGTACTTGGTACAGTGATATTAAAATTACCTGTTATAACTGTCTACACTGCCAAGTGAGAGTCTCTTCTTTCTCTTCAATCTGCCTTATAGAAAGAGATGGAGACAGATGATAGATGATAGATAGATGATAGATAGATATAGATAGATAGATAGATAGATAGATAGATAGATGATAAATAGATACAGATAGATACACACACACATACACACACACACAAAATAAGCCACAAGATTCCTCACAAATAGTATCTCCCTGACCTGGCATTACCAACCAACAGGTCCTAGGAATTAACCCAAATTCTGTATGATTATAATACTGTTAGCTCACATTTATTGAGCACATGTGTTATTTTCATCTTTAATCTTCACAACAGCCTTATAAGGTAGGTATTATAACTTCTCTTATTTTGCTGATGAGCAACTAAGTCTTAGATAGTTGAGGAAGGTCACACACAAAGGCGGTACAGGGCATGCCTGGGAGCCTGGGATTCGAGCCCCAGGTTCTGTTGGCCTCTAGAAACTGGCTTCCTCCCCTCCTAACAATACTTCCTCCCCTTAGCATACGCGCATTCGCTACCATATGGAGATATTTTAGTCAACTAAAATTGTCGCTGACTCAGCTAATTTCCCTGAACAGAAGGAAATCTGGTAGCCTTTAAGAGCTCAGTCTAACTGTGAGGTTTGGGCACCGTGGGTCATTTACTACCTGTGCATGGGCTCATTTATTGTCAGGGGTTAGCGGCACTGTCTTACCTTTAGTCATAGGGCATGAATTAAATTAAATGAAAGCCAGGAGTACCCAGCGAATCACACACTCTTTCTGAGTGCTGTCTTAGGGAGAGAGAGTTGTCTTAAGAGGAACACAGACTCTACTTTGGAAAGCTTGGATTCAAATCCCTGCTCTGCCGGTTTAGCTTTATGACTTTGGGCAGGTCCCTGAAAAACCTTAATTTGGTTTCATGTGTGACATGGAGAGAATGCCTCCTGGGAGGATCGAAGTGCCCACCATAACTGCAGTGCTCAATCAATGCTCTCCACTCCTAACAAGATGGAGCTCTTCAAGGGAAGTTTTCCTTCAAGTTAGTCCACTCTCAAAGAAGGTTCAGTCAATGCAAATATTCCATTACACCCATCTGTCACCTTTAGAATGAAGCTTTTAAGAAACCCTTTGGCTAGTACACAGTGAGTTATAGGAGTAAAAAATTCCCTAATACAGAAGCAGTGTCTGATTTAATCTTTGGGATCAACTGTGAGATTGCACAGTTTACCCAGTAGTAAATTACACAAACATGGAAGATAGAAATCCTTTTTAATGGGCACAGGGATGGTAGGTGGCATTAAGAGGAGGAGGTTATTGACCTTCAAGGCTAGACAGTGCCACACCAAGCTTTCTCGGTACAGTTGTTATGTTTCAGGGGCCATGATGGGATCCGGGCGTATCTAAAATCTGCTAAAGAGAAGGTTGTTTTCTAAAAAGGGTTTCACTGCATTTCAAAGTCAGAGAAAGCAAATCTCTCCAAGGGAGAGAAAGCCCTGCAAATAAGAGGACTTTAAAATGAGCATCTCATTGACAAAAAGCCTATTCAAAAATAAAATTCGCACCATTAACTAAAGGGCAAAATATCACAATTATCACTTGGACTTGTTAAAAGCAAACTGGCTCCTTGGTCTTCAGGCCAGTGTTACATGTAAACTGAAACCCTCTTCGGAGTCTACATCTAGAAGAAACACATTAACTGTGCTGTGTGGCGTCGATCAGGGAGGTTTTCATTGTTCTTTAAAACCCACATTATTTAATCATTCTGATCAAACTTCACAGAGGCTGCAAAACAAGTTAGGATTTTAGTTTGTAAACCAGAAAAGATCCAGGGTTTTTATATAGAGGAAAACACTGGCTTTGAACTTTTTTCCTGTGTTTAATGCTCTTCAGAATATTATTTTTCAATAGAAGATAAACAAAACATTTCAGGGGCTTGTTTTGTTTTTAATACATCAGCACACACAATACTGTGGGAGTATATATTTGGTTTCCCTTCACCAGAGTGGAATTTGGTTCTATACTATAAACCCATGTATCATTGAGACAGTAACTTGTTCTAAGTATTTACAGCTTATGGGCGTGGACGGGTGGGTGTGGGGAAAGAGGCTGGGAATCCTGCATTTGTAAAGACGGAGATTTCAGACTACGGCCCCACGATTTTGCAAATACTTGCAATTACCACATCATATCTTGTTAAAAGTGTTATTTATTCCTTGCTTATTTTCATATTTTGCCTTTTTAAAAAAAAGTTTAGATTCGGAACAGTATGTTTAATTGTATAATATGCTTAGAAGCAAGTTCATGAGGGTTGGGAAGAATGTTAAGTGGGAAATGTAATTTTTCCTCTTTCTAAGAAGTCTGGTACTCCAGGCTCTTACATGTACTCCACACTAAAAAAAAAAAAAAAATTAATTGAAAAAGGAAATTCATCTAACAAATATAACTCTTAAGCTTGGAAACAGTGCTTACATTAGGGCCTGGTACATAAGATGTGCTCACACACTTACTGAATGAAGAAGGAAGGAAAGAGAGAAACACTGGTGTTTATATTCCGTGTGTCTTATTTCCTTCTTGCCGTCAGAATTCTGCAGCATTTTGTCTAGACCCTTTATTGAACAAATAAGAAAACTGGATGTGTTCTGATCTCTAAAGACATAGCCCTGTGGGTTTTGGGGGCCAGAAGTCTGGCGGGAGGGTATTAGCTGCAGTAGGCACCCATTTCGAATCCCTTTAAAAGTTTGTAGAGAACTACTCTCCAAAGGGTTTCTTGAAACTTAACTTCTAACCTGCCTTTCAGGTTACTGGACATAACATAACCAACGCCGTAGCAAATATTTTACAAAATAACCTACAGCACATAGTAGTGGAAAGATCATAAGCATTAGAGTGAGATTTGAATTCAAGCCCAGGTGCCATCATTTTCTAGAGCTGAACATTAGACATGTCACAGTTTACATCTTGGAATCAGTTTTCCCATTTGTGAGATGAAGACCATACTATCTACATCAGAGGATTAAGGAGCTAATACATGTGTAAAATGCCTGACAAAATCTCCAGCATGTGGTAGGTACTCAAATGTAATTTCTTCTCTCCCTCCATATTTTAAAATGCTACCCTTAAAAAGAATACCTCCCAATTCTGAGTGATTTTTCTGAGCATTATCTTGCATTATCTTACTTAAATAGGACAGCTATTACTTGCTCAGTTTCACAAAATGTGAGATTAAGCCAACTGCCCACGTTCGTAAGTAGTGAAACTGAGACCCAATGTGATTTCAAGGCAATAAAGGGTCTGTTCTTCTGGGAGATATTTCATATAAAATAAAAGAGCCATGGGCAGATTTAAAAAAAAGAAAAGAAAAACTTCTAGGGTGAAAATCAAATGAGTCATTAAAAGTAAAACATTTCCAAGTTTCCTATAAAGACATAGAGAATTGCTGAGATTGGAAACTAAGAGAATTATCCAATTCTGACTTCTTGGTCAAATTTAGATAGCTATTAATTTTTGTTACTTTAAATGCTCTCATCACATTTTATATGCACTGTGATAATGCATGAAAGCCCAAACTCCCTCACCCCAAATCAATCAGTGCCTCTGCACACAAACCAAAAAACAAAAGCTAGAAAAATATTTGGGCATAATACCTTGTTTTGTTTTCATGTATCTTTATCTTTACAGATACATTTTTAAGACTGAGACCTGCAGACCGAAGAGCATATGGAGCGAACTATCCAACGTCTAGAAAGTCACATTTTATTCCTTTCAGTTGTTCTTTTAAACATATAAACAGTGCAAAT